AGAGTCCAGCGCTCCCCATTAGTCAGGGAGTCATTTAAAATCTCTGCAATTTACAAAGAAAGAGAAAGGTGAAAAGGAGCAACAGAGAGGGTGAAAGAGAGGGTCAGGAGAGAGAGAGAGTCTCAAGTCCAACTATGAAAACTGAACCCAAATTTGCCAATAATGAGAATTTAAATGAAAAATCGTTGTTTGATGTTTGTGTTTGTAAGTCCGATAAAATGAATGGATCTCTCTGACTCCATTTGAGCTCTTTTTATGACAGTTTTCTCTTTTTATTTATGCAGGATTCACAGTGGTATGTAGCTTTAGACCAAACACTAAGGACAGTATTACATTTAAAACTAAACAAATGCTGTAGGATTGCCCTGAAAATGTTGAAATGCCTGAAATCAACTGTTGAAATCAGCTGAAGGATGAGAAGAAATGGCTGAAGTTCTTTGTTGAAATAGCTAAAGGATGAGATGCAATGCTGGATTGTAATTGTGGAAGTTGAAAAAATGTTGACTATTTATGAAAGATGAAAAGAAAAAGTTGAATAATTATGTAAGATGAAATCAAAAAGCTGAAATTGGGAATTTATTCTCTAAAAAATCTGAGAGCTTAAAAGCATCTCTGAAACAGCTGAAGGTATCGTGCCAAAATGAGAAGTAGAAATAAAATAGCTTACATTTGTAGAAAGGCCTTCATGTAAACTTAACTTCTGGGCTTTTATTTTGAAAATCTGGCTTGTTTCCAGGACTTTATGTGAGGTTCAGTTACTATCCTGGGCTTTTATTTTGAATGTCAGGCATGTTTTGGGGCATTCATGTGAGCCACAGCTGAAGGTATCGTGCCAAAATGAGAAGTAGAAATAAAATAGCTTACATTTGTAGAAAGGCCTTCATGTAAACTTAACTTCTGGGCTTTTATTTTGAAAATCTGGCTTGTTTCCAGGACTTTATGTGAGATTCAGTTACTATCCTGGGCTTTTATTTTGAAAGTCAGGCATGTTTTGGGGCCTTCATGTGAGCTTAATTTGTAATCAGGAGATTTACATGATCTCCCAAACCGCCGTTTGGACTTTGGAGACCAGGAAACGTTATCAGTTCAATATGAGGACACAGCAGATCAGCTGGAACTTGAGCGCTTCCTCAAAATTCACATACTCTCAGATGACACTGCTGAGGTATCAGTTAAAATGGAGGAGATAGATGCTGCTGTTCAGAAATTCGCCATCACGTGTTCCCTCAACGAGGAGCACAGAATAAGTAAGATGAACTTTGTCCAGATGTATGCCAAAGCATCATTTTATGAAATCATGGCACAGCTACAGAAAAAATTCTTTAGCCATGTCAAGGAAACCAGTGCACTAGAGTCTCAAATGGCTCGTGCGACCTCGCTGTTTGAGAAACCAGCACATGAAGGTTTGCCCGGTTGCTTGGTTGTTCACAGTGGTGAGGCCCTGGCAATCACAAAGGTGCTCTGTGGTGTACTGAATGATTATGTTGATGACTTAAGATCACACAGCATCACAAAAACAGAGGGACACACCAGACTGTCAGTTAGTCCATCAGAGCACGTCATGTGTGATGAAGTAAGGAGCAGAGTGTGTCGCTTCCTCGTAAGAGTGAGACACTGGTTCCGCACTAAGGCAGACAAGTTCATGGAGATAGTGAGGACGTGCATAGCCAATGATCGGGCTTCTCAGTGTTCCTTGCTAAGTGAGGAGGACTTACCAGTCACCTCTGAACAGGGAACGACAGGAGTCACCTATGAGGAGGAAACGACAGGAGTCACCTCTAAGGAGGAGGAAACAACAGGAGCCACCTATGAGGAGGAAACGACAGGAGTCACCTCTAAGGAGGAGGAAACAACAGGAGCCACCTATGAGGAGGAAACGACAGGAGTCACCTCTAAGGAGGAGGAAACAACAGGAGCCACCTATGAGGAGGAAACGACAGGAGTCACCTCTAAGGAGGAGGAAACAACAGGAGCCACCTATGAGGAGGAAACGACAGGAGTCACCTCTAAGGAGGAGGAAACAACAGGAGCCACCTATGAGGAGGAAACGACAGGAGTCACCTCTAAGGAGGAGGAAACAACAGGAGTCACCTATGAGGAGGAAACGACAGGAGGACCTGGATAACAATGTCTACAAGGACCTCTGCAAACATTTCAGCAAGCCAAGCACTGTGTTCCAACTGTATATGAATGAAACATCATTTGAAGATTACATCGTCTCCGCTCTCCAAAAGCACATCATCAAACCACCAGTGAAAGGCAGCAAAATTTCCAAGTTCTTTTCCAATATGTGCGAGTTCATCTGCAAGCCCTTCCGGAAGTAATTCATCTTAGAAAAATATATTTGGGGTGGGGGTGGGGAGGGCCTACTTCTTCTTGCTTTGTGGGTTTTTAGTCCGGTGCTCCGGTTTTCTCCCACTTTAAAGGGTCTGAACAAGGAATAAATCATCACTGTAAATTAACTGATTGATAAATAACTGTTGAAAATGTCACAAATAAAATACAAATTAAATTTCTGCTCATCTCTCATTATTTTCATTCATACATGTAAATATGAATCGACTCATTTATTTGAGCACCAGCACTGGTGTTAAAGTTCTAGTCGTGACCCAAAATATTTTTGTTTGCCGTTGCTTCACCATGTTCATATTTACACAGCCAAAGCTAGACCTCCCTTCCCTCAATATTATGACTGTAATGGTGCACTGTGAAATATTTGACTGTAAATTCACAATAAATTACTAACAGTTGCATTACTTTCACAGTAAATTAAGATGATGATTATTGTAATTCTAGTCGTATGCTGCTGTAGAATTTCTGTACTTAACTGTGACTTTTCACCACTGTATCTGTTAAACCAGTAACAAAACTATAGCATGAAAAGGTTAAATTTAAAAATACCTCAAATAATCCTTTGATAACACAATTACATTTACACATTTAATTTGCAAGTAATGCAAACCAGAGCAACTAATATGTTTTTTTCCTTTGGTACATTATCATCTTCTGCAAAGTTTAATGCATGTTAAGTACATGCAATATTTGCTTTCTCACAATGCCAAAATAAATGATAGTTAAGAACATTTGATACATCTTATCTTAAAGATTTCAAAATAAAATGACCATAATTCCATCAGGTAAACATAAAAAAATAATCAGAACAGCGCTGGAAGCTAATGAAGTCATTTTTCACGAAAAAAATGGCAAACATTTTCCAGTTCAAGCTTCTCAAATATGGGGATTTTCTTCTTTTCTTGTCTTTATATAATTGTAAATTTAATACCTTTGTGTTTGGGGGCATAGGTTGGACTAAATAATCAGTTCATAGACATCAGCCCGGGCTCTGGCAAGTTGTGATGGACATTTAAATTATTTCTGACATTTCACAGAGCAAACAATCTATGTTTATCTACTCATCATCTACACAACAATGTAAGAACAGGAAATGATGTGAACCAAGTTCCATATGTCCTTAAGTCTGTCATGAACCACCGTCTGCTGAGATGCACAGTATGACATTTATGTAAAACAGATGTGATGTTAGGAGACCTGAAAAAACTGTAAGCGCAAGTTCCTAAAACCAGCCATCTTTAATTGTTTTAAATCTCTTTTAGTCATGTGGATTGTGACTCTCTCTGATGGATTAGAAATCACTGGTGCTCACAATTCAAAAGGCCGTGACAAACAATCTTCATTTTCTCTCCCATGAATAAAAACCTGTTGGTTAATAAGTTTAAGTTGAATTTAGAAAGACTGGAAAAGGGAACGAGAGAAGAGGAGAGAAACAGAGAAACAGGCAAAGATAAGGAGAAGCTGAGAAAAGAGAGAAAGACAAAGAAAGATAAAACCAGAAGAGTTTCTGTTGGAGTCAGTTGTAGAAGAAGAGAGGAGGAAAGGAAACAAGTGGAGCCAGGAGGAGAGAGAAATAGTGAATAATTATATCTTGTTTGGAAGGTTAGCGTCTTTTTGTCTTAAATTTGTTTGAATGTAATTTATTAATTTCACACTCTCTCTCCCACTTCACCTTTCCCCCTCTCCCTCTCTCCCCATTCCTTTCTTTCTTTCTCCCTTCTCACACCTTAATCTTCTTTTTTATTTCACCTTCTACTTCCTCTTCCTCCTCTTTCTAAACCCTAACCTTCCTCTCTCCACTCTCTTTCTGTCATCCATCCATTGATCTTTCTCTCCTTTCCATTTCTTCTTCATTCCTCATCTCGTCTTCTTGCCTCCCTTTCTCCCCTCCCACCCGCTGGATCTCTCTCTCTCTAATCCAGGGTGGTGGTTTGACGCCTGTGGTTTCTCCAACCTGAACGGTATTTACTACACCGTCGGTCACAACATCAGGAAGCTCAACGGGATCAAGTGGCACCACTTCAGAGGCCCCAGCTACTCCTTGCGCTCCACTTCCATGATGGTGCGACCCTACGACTTCTAATGCCGCTTCACCTTCAGACCCTCCAATGTCAGGTGCTACAACCCCGTGGCTCCCAGTGTTCCTCCAGAATGCCTCTCTAATGATGTGGAACTTGTAAAAAAAACACTCGGCTCCAGCGTCATGATGGTCCACTGCCTCACAGCTGATAACAACACCACTTTGGATCCACAGTGTCACAAACCTGCCTGTAGCAGATCCTGTGAAGGTAAAACCCAGCTGAGTGCCGAGCACCCGTCTGATCCGCCTTCACGCTTTTTGAAAGCCTTGAATGTCTCCTCTCTGGGACCCTGGATCCATGAGGGCTGCATTATACTAGAAAGGTATGCGTTTGTACAACTTGTCTTCAGACACTCTCTCCTGGAAGACTTTCTCATTTAAACACTCGATTGTATACGTGAAAGGAGACAGTTATGTCAAAAATTTAAAAAGAGAGCAAGGTTGCTGTCTCACACCTGTATAACTGGCCATTTGTGGGGTGATGTGGGTGAAAGGTGTTGAAGTTCTCCCAATTCTGACATCATAAAGGTGTTTGACCATCTCACAAGCACAGCGGTCAAGTCAAATCGCTTTAAATTGTTATAGCAGACAGTATCCGACGCCCTCTGTCCTTAGACTCCCCAGAAGATTTTAAACAGGAAAAAATGGAAGAAGGCTCCAGAAGAGCAACAGAGGAGGGATCTTTCTTCAGGACGGACCGACAGGAAACACATGTTGTGTGTACAGCACAGAGAAAAATGGTAGATTTACAGTATGGACAAAATAATAGACTGTAAACATACATGGCGAACATGAACCGGGGGGAGACGCGCCAGCAGACCTGTGCTACACAACTTCCTGTCCACCACGTAGGCCTGGAAGAGAACACACAAGAGGCAGAGATCACACACAGCATAATGAGCTGTACTCCTCCGTCTGTCTGGTGGGTCAGTAGCTATGGAGCTAATCCCCTGTAGCTTCAGAACATCCCTCTGTTCCCACTTCTGCAGAGCCCTTCCCCTGTTGTGATGAGTGACGCCTCCAGATCAACCACAGATAATTTCTCACTGTCTTCTATGGCAAGAAAATTTTGTACGTAATAAGGCTTCTCATACAAGACTTCTGCATGTCAGTAAGAAATGGATAACTGGGCCAAATGTGTAGTTTGGATGAGAAAGGTCAGTTCACTCAAATACTTTGATTGTTAATTAACTGGACTTTTAATGCCAGTGGGTGAAATACTAATGTTTACACACAATAATCAACAGTTTTACCCATGTGAACGGTGAAAGTGTTGCATCCTGTCGCTTCAGAAAGGCAGAAACAGTGAGGCTGAGGATTGAGTTGATGAGCTGGAGTCGCATCAGGAGCCACAGTCTCCAGCAGGATGGGGTGTGGTTTGGTTACAGCGGGGGCCCGAGCTTCCCTGGACAGGGAGCCCACAGGCCACTAAAACAGATAAATCTCCCTCCCCGGGTCATGTTTTTATCAAAGACACCTGAAGACCACAAAGAAACTTGTAATTTATGAACATGTAAATTGCCTTAACAGCAAAGCGGACACACAGTACTAGTGCAACGCCCTGTTCTCACCATGTGCACGGACGACTAAAGCACAGACACAGAAGTGGGTTACTGAGACTTGCAGCAGGAGGGACATTGCACATCATGGTTCTAACTGTTTCTCTGGAAGGGAAACAATAATGGCAAGCAGGCTGAATTTTTGTGTGGGTAAGTCATGACACGTCCCTATCGTTTGCCAGAGGATGGACATGGCAACACTTAAAGCCTTGAACATATTTTAACCTCCACTGTGTATTTATGAAGAGTGAAGAGAAGAAACAGAGGAACAGAAGACAAACATGGGAAGAGAACACAATAACACACTAAAAACTAAATGGACCCTTTTCCCAGTTTCAGTTTGGATAAAATGTTTGGCCTTTTGAGGGAAAAAGGAAACAGAATTAAGATTCAGCCGAGTCCAGATTGTGAATCAGAGAAATGTTGTTTCAATAACCTTTCTAATCCAAACAACCTGGTTATAGTTGTGTTTGCGTTTGGTTCTGTATTTTGACACACACCCACTAGTGGCACTCACATAGACATTAAACTAGTTAGAGGACATGTTTAAATGTTTCACTGCTGACCTGAGTTTTCCTGTCTCATACACACACAGCTGAGATTACAGAAGAGTGTCCTCATTGTTCAGGTGTTGTCATATTGTCGCCTGTGTAGCAGCAGCAGGTAGGGTCTGGGTTACTGGTGTCACACTGGGAATACTGGACCGAGTATGCGTGTGTCTGACAGTCCAAGAAGTGAGTCTCATCAGTCAGTCCTTAATTTAAATAGTCATTTATCAAAGCAGTGTGTTCCGTTAGAAGCTCAGGAGGCAGGAAGAGAAACCCAGCTAGCTATTTACTACCAGTGATCAATAACCTCAGCCTGACTGATATTTGTGTCAGAGGAGGAGGAGGCACAGCTTCACCTCCTGCCAAGGTGGATGGAGGAGGGAAAACGTTGTGAAGAGGTCAGGTCCAGTAGCACGTGAGCTGTGAAGAACAACTTTATTGTTGGACGAGCACGTTTTGGCACGTGGTTGACATCAGAGTAAAGCACAGAGCACAGTTACATAAGATGGGAGGGAGACAAAAAGTCATTCACAAAAAGGTCCCGGTCATATACATGCACATGTTTGGTCCAGCAGGGTATGGGGGCAGTAGATATGTGCATTTCTCCTACATGTAGATGAGATGAACCCGACCACCCTCTGTGTACCTTATTGGCTACGTGCTGGTTTGACAGTACAGTTCTTCTTACAGCGGCAGCAGCTTCCAGTGAGACACCACTGGCTTTACAGGTACTGGGTGCTGGTCGTCCTGGCTCTGTTGATTTGAATGTCAACCAATTCTTGAGTGCGAAACAAAAATCAAAAATGAAGAGGCTGAGTTATCTGTGGGAGGCAGGAAACCTGAGCACAAGCTGTGCAGAGTAATTAGCTTATTTCATATCAGCTGTCAGCTCACTTTAACCGATTTTCCGCCCTGACTCTATTACAGCATTCCACGGTCTTCTCTGGACTCGGAGAGCAGCCCGTAGGTTTATAAAGCTCTAAAGAAATTGTTCGACATTCTGGGAAATACACCGTCTTCACTTTCTACCCAACAGTTAGATGGAAAGATCAATACTACTCTAGTCTCTTGACAATAAATATGTATGGGGTTCGGTGCCAGACTGGTTCTTGGCCAGGAGCAGTAACTTTCTGGAGTCTTTATTGGTAATGTGGTATTTGATGAGATTTACAGGTGGATTTTGTTACATTTGGCAGAGTCAGGCCAATTGTTCCCTCGTTTCCAGTCTTCAGGCCAAGCTTTCAATGAGTCAAGTCAGTTTTATTTACGTAGCCCAATATCACAAATCAGTGTCAAGAGACTTTAAAATCTATACAACATGTGAATCATTCTGTTCTTTAGACTCTGAGGAAAATCTCCCCCCAAAAACCTTTAATGGGGACAAAATGGAAGAAATGTGAGGAGGAGCAGCACAGGAGGCATCAATCAATCAATCAATCAGTCAGTCAGTCAGTCAGTCACACTTTATAGCAGCTTTCCTTCAAGTTAGTGTCAGTCACAGTGTTTTCCAGACGTCTGACAAGCTGATAATAAATGCAAGTAGTAAAACTATTAGATGCACACGGGAAATGGTAGAAAGTAGTAATAAAACCCAATTTTTAAAAGTTTAATGATTTCATAAATAAAATATGAAATTACATTTTAAAATGAAATAAAACTAAAAATATACATTAAAACATAAATACAATAATGTTGTATTGAATTATTAAATGAAATAAATAATGGCCACAAAACATTGTCCAGGAAAAAGATGCAGGTTTTAAGTTTCTACACTTTGAGCTGCCCTCAGATCAACACTAAAAGCTGCCTCACCAGTTTATTTCCTGCACTGTGGAACAACTGAACAGGACCTTGAGGCCTCATCCTGATTCACAGATTGGAAGCATGTTGGACAAACAGGCTGTAGCAAAACCATGAAGAGCTTTGATAAGGTAAAAGAAAGTAAACCAGCTGCTGGCGGCGACTCGTCTCTGTCTCCAAGAACTCAAAAAGCATCGCTCCCAAAGTGTCACAAGTCTTCATTAAAAACAACTGAATGTTCTTCAGGCAGCGCTGACGCTGGTGAAACTATAAGGTTTTCATCTGACAACAGTGATCGAGTATCCTCCTGCACGTTGTCAGTACAGTTTTATGTGAAGTGTGTAAACAGCGCTGCAGATTGTAAAGAGTTTGTCAAACGTTACTATTGGTCAGAACACAGGAGTTTGTACTTCACACTTATTGAAATGCACTTTACGGAAAGAAGATGGTGACGTGTGGAACAGGTGAGTGTCCAGTTTCATCTTGGCTTTCACACTGTTGTATATTCTTCTGTGGTGAAACTGTTCAAAGGTGCTGCAAACAGAAACAAATTATTCATTTTCAGATTTAAACTTTTTTCCCCACTGCATCTGTGTAGCAAAACTTTTCCACTCAATTGTGAACAGGCTGGTATTTTTACAAAATGTTAAAACCAGCATGAGCAGCTGTGATGGGTTGTAGTCTCTCCCCCTGTGCAATGGTTAACAAAGACACTGATCACTTTTCATATGGTCAATTTACCCTTCATAAAAGTGGCAAAATACAGCAGTTGGAGATGTTGCATGCATATATACAAACATGTCAAAACAGTATATCACATGTGAAGATGAATAAAAGACTGTCACCGGGTTTGAGGTCGTTCCAGTGCGGCTCTGCCTCCCTCTTGTGGTCAAACTGCTGCTCTGGGGTTTTTCTTTAACACAAGGAAATCTGGTGAAAAGTGCCAGTGTAACAATGAAAAATACTCCATTTCAAATAAAAGCAAGTAAAAATACTAAAGCACTAATTTAAAAAGTAGACAAAAGTTCCTGATCTTCAAAAAAAGTCCACTGTGGTAGATTTATAATGTGCCATTTTTATTACATTTTACAGATGCATCAAGTGTGTTAGTAGCATTTTACAGATGTAGCTTGAGCTGGACACGGTTCTAGTTTACATACGATCAGACCGTTTAGTGACTCTCGTCCAAAGTGAGGGGTTGTCAGATGATTATTTAAAGAAGAAAGCCAAAACCATCATTTGTAGTCATTTCTTACATGTAAATCTTAATCTGTAAAATAACAGTATCTGTCACATATGTGTATTGGAATAAAACACAGTACTTTTATCTGTAATGTGGTAAGTGGTAAATACACTGTATACTGCATGTGTTGGTCTTGTCGTGCACATTTTGATGCCATTACACTTGCACCTCTATGTCCCCCAGGTTTTTGCACTACAACATATTACACTATGTACAGTAATATATACATTATATTCCTTATGGACATAAGTGTATTCTTTCTTTAACATAGCAGTGTTACTCTAAACACTGGCTGTCCTACCTTAACCTAAGGAATAACACTGAGCGCACTAGCTGTCTTCAGTTTCTATGACCTCACGTGACGTCGCTTCGCTTTCCAAGGAATTAACTTTGACCCTCCGTGGCACCAGTAGGTCTCTTCCGGTACAAAAGCAGAGCTCTACTGTATTTGCGGTTTCTGTGAAGGTCGTGAGTCCGACTTGTGAGTATTTCCCTAAAATGCTATTATTTAAAATGGGTAATTGAATTTAGAATATAACGCATTGCTTTGTCACGTGAATATTGACTATTGGAATTTACATGCTTCCCAGAACATTGCCGCTTTCCTCTCATATGGCTGGATGATTAGCAGGTGGCTCTATCGAGGTAGCTAACGTTAGCATGTTGTTCGTTAGAGTAACGAAAAGCTCATTACTCTTGTTAATTACAGTTCAGAAGATAAAGATAATAAACAGTTTATATTACAGTTTTTTCTCGTGTTGTTGAAGAGAAAAGCTGTGAAGTTTTTAAACATGTATTGTATCTGACTTTGTGCTGTATGTGACCCCAGGCAACTGTTGTCTGACGGGTTTTCCTTTCTGTTAGTGCGTCTAGTGTGTGACACCGCCGTGTAACATACGACACTTGTTTCAGGAAATAGAGGTCACCCGGTAGCTGGAGTGCTTACCTGACTTAGCAGCGGCGTCTGATGGCGACCTGCCTCCAGGACAAAGCTATTAGACATGTCTGCTGTGAGCATGTTCATACTGAAATTGTTCGTGTCAGTTGGTCAGAATAAAGTAGGAGTTGACATCAAGGCGGTTTACTTCGACGTGAATTTAATTGAGCTTTACTCGTGGCAGGTTTCATTTTTAAGCATCTTTAAACAACAGATTGTTTTACATAAGACAAACCAAAAGGAATTAAGTAAAACAGAAGATAAAAATAAGCTGAAATAGAAATTTACCAGGAGAGTAAAGATGACAGTAGAGATATAGTGCAATGCAATTTGGGAATACATTGCCATATTTGTGTCCAGCTCAGTGCTTAATTAACAGCCAGATGCTGAATCTTTAATGCATGAATCATCCATGATTTGGTGATAGTTTGCAGTTGGAGCTTTGTTGCAGTATTCACTTTAAACAAGATGGTGTAATGTGTGGAAAGGAGGTCATCAGTAATATGTCCATGGATGATGAGACATTCACTGATCATTTCACCCAAGTAGAGCTTTCAGATACAGTATATACTGGTTTGCAGCTAATGATAACTTAATTTAATGATGCCTCCACCCCCTATCTGTAAAATGTCATAATAGTGGAAACTGTCTTTGCCCATGCTTGCATTCATCCTCACATTGAGAAGCTGGGACCCACAAATGTTTGGGCATTTTTGCCTAAAATGACAAAAGTCATTATTAAAATGTTTGCAGATTTGTTTTCTCCTGATCAGCTGATTGATTAATAAAGTAATTATTGCAGCTCTAGTGAAAAACAATTTGTCTGTGCACGACACAGCTGGATTCTGCATCACCATGATCCCTGACATTGATCACTGATATTGATTTTGATCTTTCACACAAGTCCTCAGTTTTGCCAGCATTAAGGGTTAATTCTCCCCTTTAGTCACAGTCACTGTAGAACACGACTGCAGGCTGCGAACACACTCATCACAAACAACAATAATCTCTGGCTCTTTGAAAGCTATACCAGTTTTATATATTGGATTGATTAGCTCATTGTAAGGAAACATGTCTTACATGGGTGGAGCTAAGGCATAAGGAAAAGATGCAAGTGAGGGAAACATGGATGCAAATAAGGGAACTGGGTTTTGCCCGTAGTGTCACAGGAATACAAATGCACACAGTTCCCCCCAAGCTTTACATGAAGTTAAATTTTTGTGGCTGTACAGGTGATCCACCATGTCTCTACAAAAGCCTGTGATGAGGGGGCTACTGGCGCGGCGTCTGAGGTTTCACCTGCCCATCGCAATCGCCATCGGTCTGACAAGTGCAGTATCGTTCAAGGTGAGAAACGCACAGGCTCCAGCCTTCATCCTGATGATGATATTATAAATAAATTATGTTTTTGCTGACGTGTGTAGTGTGACAGTCACTACATAATGCGTCAGTTTATTAGGTACGACTGTACAATGTTATGCAGTCTGCTTGTTAAAAGTTTCAAAAGCAGGATTCATTATGGGCTGTGATGCAGATGTTCTTTGTAATTGTCATTCAAACGTGCTACTCCACTAAAAGTATAAGGCTGTGAATGCAAATATTTCTCCAGGTATGAAACAGTATTTGTGTTACAGGATAACTGTTCATGACCCACATGCTTATGTGAATGCACACTCGTATTTTTCTAAACTAATGTACATGACGTGATCAATAAATAAGCCCGTCAGTGTCTCATCCTTTGACCAGTCGTGGATCTTTGAGTCTGACAAATGTAGATAAACCATCTTACTGAGACACTCACAGATCTGGTTGCTTCTTTCATTGGGAAAATGTGAAAATTGAAACAAAATGTTCTCATGTTTCTGTCAGTTTATATTCCACCTTTTATGGTTTCGACTGAAACCGAAGTAAAGAGACGTGTCTTTTCTTCTCAATCAGTACATGGTGACAGAGCCCAGGAAACGGGCCTATGCTGAGTACTACAAGCACTATGACGTCAACAAAGAGTTCAATGCCATGAGGGAAGCTGGCGTCTTCGAGAGCGTGCAGCCAACTGGGAAGTAAACCTACTGCAAATCTTTTCATGGGTGAGAGTTAATCAGTAGATCCCAACAGTTGTTCAGCATTTTACCAACCCCAAAATATACATCAGTGGAGGAAAAGTAGATTTTTTTTGCCCCCTCCCCTTGAACCTGAGCTTCATTAACCACTTAAAATACTTGAATTGATCAACATCTGACAGCGACGCACACCCACCCACAGCTTATAGACCGACCATTAAGAGCCGGTGTCTCATTTACATCACCAAATCTCATTACCAGGTGCACTGCAGGCACACCAAAGGAGTAGAGGCACTCCCAAAACAGGAAAGAGACAACTTTATGGCTTGAAATAGTGATGCACCGATACTTTTTTTTTCAGATCGAGTACGTGTACTTTCATTTGGGTACTCACCGATACCGAGTACCAATTCAAGTACTTAATGATGCACTGTTTCCACGATAAAAAACAGTTGCCATAGAAGTGTTGTGACTTTAGAGATGGTTTTTAATTTCATGAGATTTACTTTCTGATGGTGATTAAATAAAATACCCTATGTAACAGGAGTTCCCTAGTTTCAAGCTTCCAGTTGTACTCTTAAATAAAATTATATTAGGAAACAGCAGCTAATCAATACCAGCTGATTGATCAGTTTGGCTGATGAAGTCACCTAAACTGTTTAAGGTGGAGCATTGCGAAGTAACTAAGGTCACAATTAACGTTGTTCTTCATTATGGACAAGTCTGCTTTTTTTGTTTGTTTGTTTATTCAAATAATTAAATGACAGTAAATAGTGAAAAAGACTCCTAAGGATCTTCAGATCTTTTTTTTTTTTTTTTGTCTGACTAAAAGTCCAGAACCCAAAGATAATCAACACAGCACAAATCTCACATTTGCAATAAAAATATTTAAAACAATTATTTGATTATGAAAAGTTACCAATTTTTCTGTTGAAGATTGATCAACAAACCAGTCACTTTATAATTTGGAGAGACTGGACCAAGTGGTCACTGTGTTGTATTTTCTATAGGTTTCCCTTTTGTTTCTTTATACTTAAAGTCTTCATATAAAAGGGACAAATGAAGCAAAGCGTCGTACTCCACACACGTATTAAACACAAAAATACAAATGTGGTGGTTGGACAGGACAGAACTTGTTTCTGTGTTTAACTGTTGTGTTTCTTTCTTCCAGCTGGCCCCCATCATTCCTTCGTGGTCTGAAGATGAAGTTCCTTCTCTCCCCCTTGGATGTAAATTACTGATCAGATGTGAACATCTCTCTGCTCTTATGTCCCTCTACAATAAACTGTTCTGTTAATGTGAGAGACCTTTTGTCTTTTTTCACATTTCTTTCAATATAGTGTATTCTGTGCTCATACAGTTCTCATGAGATACATTTTATAAACTGGGTGTATTGGGATTCTAATCCTACACTGGTGAGCACTGTACTGTAAATGTATGTGCCATGTCTGATAGGTGGTTTTTTACTGATCACTGGTTATTGGTGCGCAAGTCTCACTTGTTTTTAAGGTCTACTGTGTGATACAAGTGTGTGTGTGTGTGTGTGTGTGTGTAAATATTGCAGCAAAGTCAGTTAAACTGCACAAATACTAGATGTTGTCATACACATTCTTGGTTCATATGTCTTGCTGTCAGAGTGTAAAGACAAAAAGTCGTCCTCCTGTTGTGTATAACCGGGACACACCACTTGCTAATATACAAGAAATTCATGTGGCCTACTGGGTTTTACACTAACAGGAGACATCAGTAGGCACCAATGAATATGACTTGGACTGAAACTTGAAAAACCACACAAGAAGCAGAAAATATGTTTCCAAACATGTTTTATATCTTGTAAGAACTAGAGCTGTGTCATCACTACCCACGTTTTACTCTTATTTTTAAGCAAATGTCAATATTTAGAGACACGGGGAATACAACGATGCGTACATTTTAAATACGCACATTAAAAGGTGCATGAATTTTTTGATAAACCGTTGGTTATAAACTGGTGAGTGCATGGTATCTTATGCTCCGTGTTGGTGGCGCCCCCTCCCGCCTCGCTCCGGTACTGCAGCCTTTGTTTTGCACCGCCTTCCTGCCTCTTCCTGGTTTTTTCTACTTGATGTCACAGTGACTGCCCAGCGGTTTGTCAAACACGTCTGAAGTTGATCAGGGGAGGAGGATGAGCCCAACTGCCGCCGGGTGAAGTCGGTACATCCTTTGAACACCGTTTTGCACAATGATGAGCAGATGTGTTTTTCGCGGATACCAGGCGGCGGCGGCGGTAACGGGGACGCTGCTGTGAAAGTGAGCGGGTTAGCTGCCCTGCTAGCTGCTGCTAGCCAGTTAGCGTTAGCACACGGTGGTCGGCTACAGTTAGCACCGAGTGTCTAGTTTGAAACCAAGCTTCAGGTGTGACTAAAGCCAATTAAAAGGAGTGTTCAGAAGAGGACAACATGGAGAATAAAGTACAGATGAGGAATCACCCTCGCAGGTAACGTTATCCTAACGCTGCAATCAGACGGTGGAAATACCTGATCTTATCTATGCAGTCTGGTGTCTGGCTGAAGTTGGCAGGTAGTGGGGCTGGAAACTGAATTAAAACATGACAATAATACATTCGTAGACTGGCAGTAAATTCAATAGCATTAACGTTACATAACAGGCTGTCAAAGGAAACCGACCGACTCATGAAAACGGAATGTCAAACGACAGGGGTTTACGGAAGTCAAGGTATGAGTACTATGTAGAAGGGGGCGGCAGGTTTAAAATGAAATGCTAACTTTGTTTACCGCGTGTCCTCCTAATGGTCATGTATGACAGCCACTCCAAAGTCTTAATGGTAGGTCTCTGGAGGACGTTAAGGGAAACGGCGGTGGTATCGCAGCCACTTAACACGAATCACAGAATCTATGAAGTAGGTACAGTAAGAAACGACACAGTTAAAGGATAAATTACATACAGCAGCCAGATAAACAAAATAAAAAATAAGTAGCAGAACAGACCCAGAGCTATACGATGTGCAAAATACACACTGTGCAATGATGGAAGTATAATACAGTGTACTAGTATTATATGTGCCATGTTTCCATGGATGTTAAACAGGTTTAATATATGAATATGAACTGGGAGATGCACTGGGGCTGTCAGATGGTTTTACCTGCTGACTGGTTTGAAAGGTCTCAGACCACAGCACTGGTCTGTGGCAGAATCGTGGAGTGATACTTGGGCTGAAACCCACTAAGATATGCAGATGGTTGGGGCAGAATTACTATAGTTAAAGTGCCACCGCAACAAACAGACAGTAAAATTAATGTTAATGCACCTTTACTTTTTATTTTAGACTTAAAAATTAATAGAAGCCACCCTCTTAACCTGGTGCATATGTTCACATCACACCCAGATCTGATCTGAAAACATCTTATTTGATTTGTTCACACTTCTGTGGAAACATGAGGTCTGAGTCACTGGGAGGGAAAAATCAGCTTTGGGAAACTTCAGCCTTAGTAACCCCCTCCTCAGCATCTGTTAATGGAAATCTTCTGCGTTGGGGTTGTGTTGCAGCCAGTGGCACAGGAAACAATACACAGATAAATGTCATCAAATTCTGGATGGAAATGTCCCTCATTAGTCAAGAAAGTGAAAAGACGTGTTCAAGTATCTGTAGAGAAAGGGGCTGATAATTCATCAGTCAACAACAGAAAAGACACTTCGATACTACTTTTCTGTATATCTTTAGAAAATGTTTTTGTTTTTATTTGTGCTATTTTTGACAATTGAAAAAACAAACAAAACAATTGATTTAAAAAAAGGCAGATCAGTCATTTTTACTCTGTCAGGTGATGGCGCCCACCTGGACTAAACCTCCTCATTATTCATAAGCTGCTAAGAACAAATGAACATTTCATGTGAGCAAAGTAAAGTAAAACTTCCCATTTTTTTGTAAATACATTCAGGTGGGCCCATTTAAACGTTTAGTGTAGTAAATGCTTCAAAAGTTAAAAAATTGGCCGTAAATCGGTGGGAACCAATGGACAAGAAGTGAAATCAAACTAAAAAGCAGCCTGTTTTTATGGCCTCATAACGTCTAACGTGGACACGCTGAGAGGGACATTAAACTGGTTTAGATTAGAAACTGGTTTGTCAGCTCAGTGTGTTTGTGTTGTGCGCATTGTGTTTGACAGTAGGAACTGACGAGTTCCTTTTCTCTCCGTTCATCAGGAGGATGTCAGTAAACACGTTGTGCTCTTGTTATCATGTCCACTCACTCATCCAGTGTTTCCTCATGAAGCTGATGTAAGAGTGGAGGTTTGAGTTTGTGCGTCATTTATGTTGAGGAACAGTAACGGTGGATCCATCAGATGTGTACAGGGCATTCTGGGCATAAACAGATCAATCAGATCAGGACAATGATCAGTTGATTGATCTGCTGTTTGTGTTCCCCCTCAGTTAGTCAGGAGTTTATTTTTAGTTGTCACCCAGGTGTTTTTGGTTTGTTTTTTATTTGTAGCATTGTAATATCTTCTTGTCGAACACCAAAAGATTTTACATTATATACATACATACAGTATAAACATATGGCAGAGCTTAAAACAGACATTTCAGTATTTCCTCACATCCTAAATGTAAGGTTTCTGTTTGTATTTACTTTTTTTGTTTTATGAGGATTATTTGGCAGCTACATTTAGTATTTATTATTTTAAGTTAACATTGCTCAAACCTAGTAACTGTGACTGCTGCTCTGACAACTAATAGCCAAAAATATAGCAGCAGTTTGACTTTGCTTTTGTTTTTAAATGGACTTATTTGATATTTTGTCCTGACTTCCTGTCATCTTCTAGACAATGGCTTGTCACAAGCTGCGTCAGGGAGGAACTGGATCTATTTTTGTTTGCACAGTGGGACTATTTTTGTCACTTATCAAAGATCTGCAGAAGTTTGGTAGCACTGCTCCCATTTCAGAGCGGAGATGGACAACTACGCCCAAGGATGAGCTAAAAAAAAAACCGTGCCTGTTTCAGTTTTATTAGAATAGCTCGTCCTGATCTTTTGAATTGCTTATGAATGCATATTAATGTTTTGCATTCTGAAATCTTAAGCATTTATACTGTTTGTTTCTCTCTAGAGAACAGTACACCTGTCAAAATCCACAGAAACAAAGTGAGCTTTAACTTTAGTTTATGGCCAAGTTACTGTTTGTCTCCATGTGATGAGTTGATGAATAAGGACGGATTCACAAAAGTTACTTTAAATAGAAAAAGTAGAGCTGAAGTTATTACTCCAGTTACGTTTTGTGCCCCAAAATTAATCAGATGTTCCAGTGATGATTTCCAGACCAAGTTATGAAATAATAATGTCAAATATTGTCTGGTTTCATCTTGTCTGATGTAGGGGCTTGTTCCTTTCCTGTTTATAATCATTGTAAACCGATCATCTTTGGGTTTGGTTGTGTTGATTTGACAAAGCAACACATTTGAAGACGTCAACTTTTACACCTTTAACTACTTTCTGACTTCCTAGAACCAATAACTAATCAGTTAATGGAGAAAATGACTAGAAGGTTAATTGATAATGGAATGTTTGCATTAAAAAGTGACACCTGTGGACTCCCCCTCCCTTCTGGCCCCATCCTCACTGCCAACACTTGTCTTTGTGTGTCCTTATAGACAGTTGAAGAAGCTGAGTGAGGACAGCCTCACCAAGCAGCCAGAGGAAGTCTTCGATGTCCTGGAGAAGCTGGGTGAAGGGTGAGTCAGTCAGACAGGAGGTGACACAGAAGCATTACGCTGGTGCTGACAGAGAGGAATGCCTGAGTTTCTAAATCTCTGTGTCGGTATTTAAATGGGATCTTAGTGTTTGTGTTGTACAACTCTTCTTTCCTCTGTCGCGCTTGTTTCTTCCTCTCTGCCCCATTTTCTGTGCCTCTTCGTTAGCTATGTACAAAGCTCCTCCCTTCTCTGGCGCCCATCAACGTAAACAGTGCCTCTTCACTTCCTGTGTCTCACCACACTTCCTGTTCTGGGTGGCTGAGTTACTCTCTGACTGCATGTTGCAGCTGATGTTGTCGTTTTTTGGTCGTTAACACTCCAGTGAATGTAACTCAAAGATTCTGCGTAGCTTCTTTCTGAGGTGTAACACAGTCGCTGGTGTTAATGATATTGACATTCACTCCAGGTGTGTTCCAAGGTGTTTATACCCTTGGAGCTGTTGACCTTCTGCTTTTAGTTGATTTGTGCAGGTATAAACTAACACACAACGTGTGAGAATAATGCAGACCAGCTGCAGGAAACCTAAAGTGACAGATGCTGAAGGATGATTGC